AAAAATAAAGATTCTTGGTTAAATGCGGTTGATGAAGAATTAAACTCGTTAGAAAGAAATCAAGTATGGAAAATTGTCAAAAGACCTCTAAGTATGATGAATGGAAAAAGATTAAATGTCATTGATTCAAAATGGGTTTTTAAGTGTAAAAATGAGGCAAATGGAAAATTAAGATTCAAAGCGAGACTAGTAATCAGAGGTTTCAAGGATAAGAACATTTATGAATTAAGGGAAACTTATGCTCCAGTAGCTCGTTTACCTCTAGTGAGAATAGTTATATCGATTATAAACAAATATAATCTAGAGGTGTGTCAGTTAGTGGTTAAAACTGCTTTCCTCAATGGGGTAATAGATGAGGAAATTTATATGGAAATTCCAGAAGGAACTAATCATACTGACAGAGATAGGCAACAAAATGTGTGCAAATTGGAAAAAGCACTTTATGGTCTTCGTATCAGTCCCAAACGGTGGAATGTAAAATTCACCGAAGTAGCTTTGAGTATGGGTTTGCAGAACTCGGATTTAGAACCTTGCTTATTCACTTGGCGAGATGAAGACAAGTTCTTGCTTCTGCTACTTTATGTAGATGATATGTTATTGGCGAGTAATGATAACGATAAGTTGGATGAAGTAAAGATTAACTTATGTAGCGAATTTGAAATAACAGTCCTGGGAGAACCCAAGGAATTCTTGAGCATGACTATTAGGCGGGACAGAGAAAATCAGATTATCAAATTAAATCAGGAAAATTACATTCAAAAGATATTAAGTAGGTTTGGCTTTGATAAAGTATATCCACAACGTACACCAATGAATACTTCTCATGTAGCCGATAATGAGAGAAAATTAAGAGAAACAGAATATGATAATGGGACTTTGGAAAGGACAGAAACAAAAGCAAACATTCCTTATAGAGAGGCTGTAGATAGTCTTTTGTATTTGGCTGGTGCTACGAGACCAGACATTGCATATGCACTCAATGAAATAAGCAGACATCAAGTAAATCCTAAAGAAAGTGATTGGGAAATGGTAAAAAGAATTTTTCGGTATCTGAGAGGTACTACGGGCTTGGGTCTGAGATATTCAGGCGAGACCAATGACATTCAGGGTTATTCTGACGCGAGTTTTTCTGATTGTAAAGATTCTATCACAACTTATGGTTTTGTGATTAGACTGTTCGGTGATTCGATCACTTGGCGAACTCACAAACAAACTACAGTAGCACTTTCTACGTGTGAAGCTGAGTATGTTGCAATGAGCGAGGCGAGTCGAGAAATGATGTCGTTGCACAACTCTTTGAAACTGATACTGGTTGATCCCCNCTTTTGTATTTGGCTGGTGCTACGAGACCAGACATTGCATATGCACTCAATGAAATAAGCAGACATCAAGTAAATCCTAAAGAAAGTGATTGGGAAATGGTAAAAAGAATTTTTCGGTATCTGAGAGGTACTACGGGCTTGGGTCTGAGATATTCAGGCGAGACCAATGACATTCAGGGTTATTCTGACGCGAGTTTTTCTGATTGTAAAGATTCTATCACAACTTATGGTTTTGTGATTAGACTGTTCGGTGATTCGATCACTTGGCGAACTCAC